ATTTAAATTACTGCATTGTCTAAGATAGCGATTCCCAAAGTGGTGCAGGTGACCACGGGAGACTCGACGGGGGTCTAAGTTGGTGTGAAAAAAATATGGGGGAAAATTAATCTTATGGTTGCTTGGTAGCCTCTATATTTAAAAGTTTTTTGAGTGGTGTAAAGTGACGCACTTCTGCACTTACCGTCACTTTGTGTCTTCATACGTGTGGACGCCGTAAAAGCCACCTGCAGACTAAAAAGAAACGGATGTTGATATAACTCTCAGTGGGACGAGGCGGAACTTGCTGGCAGCAGAGATTTGAGCATTTGTGTATATTCAATGCACAGGATAGTACGCCACCATTACCTTTGTTGAAGAGATTCTAGTTCCCCTGAGGCTGAATACTGGTTTAATTCCAGCACTGAGCCAGGACTCACACATTACTGATGTCTCCAAAACTGACTCTGGGTCAGGATCTGGGGTCTTTTTCGAAGTTAATCGTAATAAGCTTAACTTTTCTCTTGGCGAATATACTTCGGTCTTTCAGGCTGAGGTAAATGCAATCCTCAAAGCCATGGACTACGTGGTGAAAAAGGGCAAGATGGAGGAGGGCAAGGAGTTTACGTGTCTGTAGGGACAGCCAAGCTGCACTTAAGGCATTGGCCAGCCCTCTAACTAAGTACTTTCAGACTGGTTCGGAAATGCAAGTCTCTATTAAATTATGTTGGTAAACATAAGGAGCTTGCTTTACTCTGGGTGCGAGGTCACTCTGGAGACGTAGACCAGGTATTCCTCGATCCGCAACCAGCTATAGCACTCCCCACCTCGGCCATCGAAGCCACCATCAGAAACTGGGTGAATACTTCGCTCAGCAATGACTGCGAGGCATCGAGGAGATGCAGGTAGGCAAAACTGATGCTGCCTTCAATCTCAAAAGGTCTATTTAGTTTTTTTTGCTCTCACTGCATACAACTTGTTGGACTGCTGAGTGTTCACTTCGCGTGGCACAAACACCTGACTGCGATAGGCGTAAATGACTACTCCATTTGCCCATCCTGCCTTGAAGGCGATGAGACGGTGGAACACTTTTTGTGCTTCTTGCTTACTTAGTGGTTTGTCATCGATTTTTCTAGATTCGGTCTTTTCTCTATTGTCGGTTTCTGAATTTAAAGTTTGGCGAAAAAAGCTTTTCGGGTTTGTGTTTCAAGTTTTGTGCTTTAAAAATGTGAGTGATAAATATTTTTCGCATCACTTTAAAACTCGGAGCGATAAAAATAAAAATGTTGCCTGATTACTAATTAAAATTAATTACTAATAAAAATTTTTACAAGCGAAAATCTTTTGTCAGCTCACCCTGCATAGTCAGCAATATAACCAAGGAATGAAACCGATTCAAAATAACGTTCCGGTGTCGGGTTTGGTTTCGTTATTCAAAATTTGTTTCGGTTTCGTTCCGGTTTCGATTTTGGAATAAAAAAATTAAAACAAGTTTGACAAAAAAAATTATTTATTGAATAAATATGTACCTTCCAAGGTTTGTTTTTGGCGAAATTAAACTTTGTGATTAATTTTAATTTATATAAACACCTTTGAATCAATTATACAAACTAATAATTATGTTCCACCACATTTGCTTAGATCTGAATGCAGAAATTTGTTTATTATACTATGTACGTCTCCATTGAGAGATTTATCTTTTAAGAGTTAATAAATCCAGTTAGTTGCTAAATCACAACCGTCTCCATTGCCACAACGAGATATTTTTGACGTTCACATTTTTAAATATTTGACGTTTGCTTGTGTATGTGTTTATAAATATAAATATGATTTTATTGAAATACAGACCGATAAAAGGAAGGTACCAGAGCGGAATTTCATTATGTGAATTCTTAATATTATTGGCTTCGTATTCGTGGTAAATATGTATAATATATGTGGGAATCAACGCACGGACCACTCGTAGCGGAAATAAGTACTGACGCACTAACGTACGGCCGTACTTAAAAACGCAACCCTGACCTACGACGATACTCCACACTGCCAAACGAACCGAAGTACGAAACGAAGAAGTACCCAACGCACATCGTACGCTGATCCATGTAATTAAACGTTTTAATATTCAATAAATATATGCATACCCGGCATTAACCGCTAATATATGTAAAAGAGTGCTTTATTCCGAGAGTAACAAGGGCTGCCCTACATACATATGAAGGGTTTAGAATCAAAAGAATCTAAGTAGATCTGGAATTTTTTTTTGAGATAATTAAGGTTAAAGTTGATTACTTATTGTCAATTCTGTGTAAATGCATCTGAAATGATTCTTGCCTAAATGAATGCAGGCTAATTAACTGATTCAAAGAATGATAACTCTTTGTCACCAAATAAACACTATATTTAACTATACAAATATGGGTATAACTTATATTTTCAAAAAATTTCACTTAGACCCTTCTGATTCTAACCCCTTCATATAGTTTGGAAAATGTAACTTATGGTACCATATTCCGAATCATTTTCCCGAATTTAAGAAATATTATCAAAATGGGAAAGAACATTTGCGGAAAGAAAAATTTTTAAAGAGCTGTTGGGGAAATAAACTCTCTTTTCAAAATCAAATCGTGGGTCCTTGGCATATCATGAAAACCTAGTTAGCAAATATGACTGCCAATTTATTTCTTGAGCCGAATTGAGTTCTAGAGGATGTTTGGTGCAATGTTATCGAAGCAGACCCATTACGGAATTTTATAAATTTTATGTCGCAGCGCGTAAAGGATTTATAGAAAGCGGAGAAGACTCTGCATGATATTATCATAAAACATTTTTTTTGAATTTTCAGTTTTTAAAATAACATCTTAATTTATTACAAACAAAGTTATGTAAATATTAATAATTTTCCTTCAAAACTGACCAAAATATACAAACGCCTAAAAATACGGAAATACATGCTTTTTTAATAGGCTAGATTTCAACGTCCGCAACTGTATATTGAAAATACAAATGTCAGTTGACTTATGGCATGTGAATTTGTGGTTGCCACACCCAACAAATTGTATTTATTGATCAATTATTGATCATTGAAGATTTAGCGAAGATTTAACTTAAATCTACTGCCTTTCGAGATTTAATTTTAATGGTAAATCTTAAAAGATTTAACGTTAAATCTCCTCAAAGGGCTAAATCCGCATTAAATCTAATAATGGAGACATAATATTATATTATTTATTATATAATGAGGGTTGTTGCTGAAAGGTATTTGATATACATACATATAAGTAAGTGTGATTTTCACAGACATTTTGTTGATATTATTCAAAATCACAATAGGGGTATTCTCTGAGTCTTGCAAAGCCCTTGCACGGTGCACGGATTGCACGGTTTGCAAAGCTGTCCCATACGAAAACCGGTTTTAACCGTGCAATCCGTGCAATCTGTGCACCATGCAAGGGCTTTGCAAGACTCAGAGAATACCCCTAATGTCTTAAACGTTGAGGAAAGAAAATCAAAAATTACAGTTCACTGATGATATTAACACTAAAATATAATTAATCGATTATCGATTCACAGCAGCAAAGTCATCACCAGATTCACTTAAATGTTTACTTTTTGCTGTAAAATTGAAGATGTATGAAAACTAAAATATAATTTGGGGGATTCCCTTAAACTCTAAAATCTTAAACTGTGTAAAACTCGTAAGTTTACGAGGCTCTTACGGGAACGCCCCCCTTTTGCAAATGAATAAATAGGTGCGTAAAGTGACTGGCTGAAAAGGGTTTCGTGAATACAATTTTGTTTCGTAGTATTTTTCATAACAGTCCGTCAGCTCGAACGGAAGCTTAAATATAATTAGAAATGCGAGAATTTGTAGAAAACCCATGTAAATACAGTTAGTGGATGAAATGTATTAATTTTATTCACCTATTATTTTTCCATTTGTTTTCGATATTTTATCATACATTTTAGTATAAAATCTTCGGTCCCTCGGCAACACTGAAGTTTACGAGGTCGTTTGCGCATCAAATTTGCCTCGTAAATTTACGAGGGTCTCGTAAATAGAGCTCCATACAAATTTTGAAATTTGTGAAATTTACGAGATTTTCGAGGTTTACAAGGCTTATACGAGTTTAAGGGAATACCCCTATTTTCATTATCGTCAAATATTTACTAAATAATTAAAAAAAAACCCTTCATTTATGTACGATTTACAACTATACATGTGAAAATTAAAATCAAAATAACTTCTTCCAAATAACCGATGCCAGATCGGAGATTTAATTTACTAGGCATCTTTTTAGTAGCTTTTTGTGAAAAGTTACTTTGCCATACTTATTTACTACTTAACAAGAATTTTAGCAAAATATTGCTGATTTTGGTTAAATAAATTATTTATTTCAAGGAAATTGGTATTTATTATTTTTATAAATTTCTGGAAACCGATTGAAACCTGTGCCTGAAACGGTTTCGGTATCGTTCCTTTTCAGTTCAAGATAACGGTTACGGTTTCGGTTTCGGTTTCGGTTTCATTCCTTGAATAAAACCAAATGGCTTTATTTCCATTGTCAGCCAGAATTAGGGCCATATCGAATTTATGGTTTTATTTCCAATCAAAGAAGAAAATATAGCCAGTATGGCTTTATTACGTATGGTGTTATTGCACACGATACAGAAAAAATATCAGAAAGTGTATCCACTTGACAAGCATTTTCTGCACTATTCTGGGCATATATACGTTATGGTTGCACATTTAAGTGGACAGACGTATCCGTCAATTAACCAAAAATAGAATAAGCTGAAACGTCCCAGTTTTAGGCATAATTCTTTTCATTTTCGTTCACCTTTATGTTTATTGTGCTGGCTGGGAATATTCTACCTTATCCTGAGTTTCACCTGAAAAAAAATCACCCGAGAATTTGTCATCCGCCCATAGTAAAACCATGGAAACCAAAAGTGAAAAGTGAACCGGTTCGGGGAAACTGAAACTCATGATAAGGCTAATTATGATTTGGAAAATGTAACTCTTTAACACTTTTCTTTTATCTTCCAGTACTCTCGAATATCACGATTGTATATCGGTTAATGCTCGCTGTCAACGTATCTGTGATCAATGGGATCGCTTGGGTGCGCTCACGCAGCGTCGTCGAACAGCCTTAGATGAGGCTGAACGTATCTTGGAGAAAATCGATATACTGCACCTGGAGTTCGCTAAAAGAGCTGCTCCGTTCAACAACTGGTTAGATGGCACACGTGAAGATTTAGTTGATATGTTTATTGTACATACAATGGAGGAAATACAAGGTCTCATTCAAGCGCATGATCAGTTTAAGGCCACATTGGGAGAAGCTGATAAGGAGTTCAACTTGATTGTCAACTTAGTACGTGAAGTGGAATCAATTGTTAAGCAACACCAAGTCCCTGGAGGCTTGGAAAATCCGTACACAACACTCACTGCCAATGATATGACAAGAAAGTGGAGTGACGTTCGTCAATTGGTACCACAACGTGACCAAACGCTTGCAAATGAGCTACGTAAACAACAAAATAATGAAATGTTGCGTAGGCAGTTCGCTGAAAAGGCAAACATTGTAGGACCATGGATTGAGCGACAGATGGATGCTGTTACTTCAATCGGAATGGGCCTACAAGGCTCGCTCGAAGATCAATTGCATCGCCTTAAGGAGTACGAACAGGCAGTATATGCCTACAAACCCAACATTGAAGAGTTAGAGAAGATTCACCAGGCCGTGCAAGAATCTATGATATTCGAAAATCGTTACACGAATTACACAATGGAAACATTGCGCGTTGGCTGGGAACAACTGTTGACTTCTATTAATCGTAATATCAATGAAGTCGAAAATCAAATTCTTACACGTGACTCTAAGGGAATAAGTCAAGAGCAATTAAATGAGTTCCGGTCCAGTTTCAATCACTTCGATAAGAACCGTACCGGACGACTAACTCCTGAAGAATTTAAGTCATGCCTTGTCTCTTTGGGTTATTCTATCGGAAAAGACAGACAAGGAGAAATGGATTTCCAAAGAATTTTAGCTGTCGTCGACCCCAACTCAACTGGTTATGTGCATTTCGATGCCTTCCTTGATTTTATGACTCGAGAAAGCACCGATACTGATACCGCCGAACAAGTGATTGATTCGTTCAGAATTCTCGCAGCCGATAAGGTAAGATACAAGTCATATGTAGCTCATACATAGTACATATCGTCTTTTAAATTACGAAACTGCGTATAAAAATAATGCAAAACCGCGTATGTGAGGTTGTCCAACTTTTACAGTAGAGAGTAAAAACTGTGTTATTTCAAAACGGTTCTCTCTTTTATAAAGCAAACTTATTTCTGGCTGGTATGTATTATAAATCGATATTTTGATATGAATGCATAAGGCTTGATGGCAGGAGTTGAGAAAATCTCATTTTTGGAACAAATGTCAGTTACGCGGTTTTTTAGAATGACGATACTTGGTTTTGTACTTTAAACGACGATATGCATGCATAAGCATCTATGATATCAATAAATATTGGTTTTTCTGTTACTTAGCCATATATATTGCCTGATGAGCTCAGACGTGAACTCCCTCCAGATCAAGCAGAATATTGCATACAGAGAATGCCACCATACAAAGGACCCAACGGAGTGCCTGGAGCTCTTGATTACATGTCCTTCAGTACTGCTCTATATGGCGAAACTGACTTGTAAGAAAGAGAAATGCCAATAATAACGGAAACATCGAATAAAATGAATAGTTCACTAAAGGAATGCATTCAATTTGTATTGATACCATTTGAAAAACTACGGTGCCATCAAAACAAGAGTGATTTTGCAGTGTGTTTCGAATATTTAAATTTATAAAATTTCGATACATTTCCGGAGCATAAAAATTCTGATATACATATCTATATATTCTATTGTTACTAACAACCATCAAGCGGTTTACATATATAAAATCATAAATGTGAACATTTGTTGCGCATATCGGAGTACATATCAAAATATCTAGGGTAATGAGGGCACAATATAAGTACTTATGTAACTCAGCAAAATCAAATGTGTATGCTCGTACACACGCCCAGAACTGCTTGCCATTGCCATCCTGTATTTTGAAATCTTGAAATTTTTAATCGTGATCATATTCTCTGAATATAATTATTTGACCGAATAAATATATAAAAGGTTGGACTGTAAACAAATGGTCAATACGATTTAAGTGGACGATTGAAAGGAACATAGAATAAAGAAAGATAAATCAATAAGAATGTTAGTTCTATAGGCGGCCAGAAAACAGCTATTTGATTTACTAATACATTTCTGGGGCGAATATTATATATTTATTTTTTATCTTTTGTTATGTTAATTTAATATTTATTTCGAGATTATTTATAATGATTTCATAACTCTTTATTTAATTTCTAATTACGTTTTATATAATTATTATATAAACTAGTATATGTTACAATGATTGAAAAATGAGAAAAGAGGGCATTATATAATAATTTGTAAGGATTCTAGAATGTTCAGATGATATCAAAATGAAGTACACTTATAACACCTATTAAAGTCAAAAAATATACTTTTGTATATTAAAACAATCCATACATTTCTGAGCTTAAAATAATCACATTTAACATACAATTATGAATTATGTTCATTTTTTTGGTTGTTTTTGTTTTGAATATGAAACTAGATGGACCTGGAATTCTATTACATTTTAAACAACCAGAAATTCTCGATTGTTAATGGGAGAAAAGATAAAGGACATTTATTTATACGCACTTATGTAAACTTTTTTGGTGTGAATTAAGGTGATTGACTCGGCTTTTCTAAACCGGTTTCCACCGATTTTTTTGGACAACTATAGACGGGTTTTTTGGAATCTTGATGTTTCGATTATAGCGGCATTCGTGATCGAGTGATTACTAGATTTGAATCGAAAGACACTCGCTATCGACTGCCGTAATCTCAAAATCAAATTTCGATTCAAGTTACGTTCGATACCGAATGCCGCGATTCGGTTCCGGTTTTTTCATTTCACACAAATCTTGACCTCCCAATAAAAGTTTTGAGTTTTTCGAAGTTTTCAAGGCTTTTTCCAGTTTAAGGGAAACCCCTAAATAGTTTTAAATTATAACCTAGGTAATTTGGGATGAACAGTACATCATATTTGATACCAATAAATTAATGTTTGGCGCTTAAATGTTTTCTACGTGTTTGGCCGAGCTTCTCCAATTCGGGTTCTGCTTCTTGATATTGTGACACAAATGAATCTACACTTTTATTCCATCTATGAAGAAAATGTTTTATGGCAGAAGTACACTCAGAGATTTGCCATTGTCTGCCGAGGGGCGACCGCTGTTTAAAAAAAATTATTTGATGTTGCTGGGACCAGAACTTGAATCATGAACCTCCCGAGTGGCAGTAGGCACCTCTAAGCACTCGGCTACGGCGGCAAGAGCACTACTCAAATCCGAATAGTCTGGAAAAATGCAATAAGTATGAAAAAAAGTTAAAATAAGACCAAATAGTCAGAAAAAATGCAATAAGTATGAAAAAAAAGTTAAAATAAGACCAACGTAAATTGTTCACTTTTGATCTAAAAAAATTTGAAGTTATTTTGCTTTGCTCTTTTCTAAATAAAAGCTATCTTTACTGTTAATAGTTTTATTATAATTTTTGGTCATGAACTCGTACCAACAGCATTTTAACTGTATGAAAACTATGGGAAACTCGAAAACCGCTTTTGCAACAAATGCGAATAATCGAACGCCCTAGTGTGAATGATACTATAGTCTGGTACGAAGACGGTGAATACTATTTGGCAAAGGGTGAAGGTTTCGGATTGCTGGGGAGAAGAAATTCAAATTCTAAAATTAGTAAAATTTCTTTGAAAACAATACAAACGATATCAGCTTAATAACTACAATTTAGATGCCACTTCTTTTTTTTTAATATACAAAACCCATATTTGCCGATTCGACAACGCCTATTTCAATTTGATGTGCATTCCTTCCAATGTAAAATAAATTGGAGTATTTATGCGTTTTATTAAATGCTATAGTTTTTATTATGTTAGTTGATTCTTTCAGTTTTTGTTCACACTTTTTAACCTATAGATGAAATAACAAATAAACTCTGTTTTCGGACTGCTGCTGCTTGAGATCACTGAATAAAGTTACTAAAATCGCTATTGGCGCTTTAGCAAATAAATAGAAAAGTAGTATAATTTATGTTGAAATAAAAACAGATAGAGCTTAGGTTTAAATTAATTTCTTTATTTATTTCCAATTTTGTATCGAACCCGAACCTGCTGGAAGCCAACAAATAACAGCAAACATCTCTGCACGTTTAGCTATAGACAGACATACAATTGGGGCCTTCATCTAAAGTGATAAACTGCTGAGAAACTTGATAAATTTATCATTTTGATAAATGAACTGTCAAAGTTTGTATGGAAATCTATTTAACCCATGGTGGAATTATACAAGGAGTTGGACATTGAAAGCGTTCTCGCTCTAATACGCCATCTTGGCTCCCTTAGCAAAATCAGTGTTTCCCCCTTGAAAAAATACCTGAAATACCAATGAAATACATAATTTCCTAACAAATATTTTCCTTAACAGTACTGAACAAAGCTTTGACATTTGCTTTATTCCTATTCATTGACAATTGCAAATAATAATAAAAATGTGTAAAATTCAGGGACCGTAAATAACAGTTACTTTTTTGCAACAGCTAAACTTGTCAAGATATTTTTAAGTCGAAAATAAAAGTCCTTTCCTAATAATAAACAAACCGCTTATCCAAATTAAACAAGTTTGGTATCAACTGAAGGAGGACTAAAATAGCTTTACAACAGAAATATCTAAACGAGGTAAGCCAGTAGAAAGCCAGCTATTGAAAAACATTTAAATAAAAAATGTTTTTTTAATTACCATAGAACAAACCTTGGGTCATTATAAAAAAAAAACATAGATAGAAGTGGTAGCCTTCGATCGTTATTTCTGTTTAAAAGCTATTTAAGTTCTCTTTTATTTGGTACCAAATTTGTTTAATTTGGATAAGCGGTTTGTTTACTATCCGGAAAGACTTTTATTTCGAACTTAAAAAATATCTCGCTAATTTTAACCGTTGGAAAAAAATAACTGCTATTTACGGTCCCGGGTAAAATTTCTAATTGACTTTGGCTCTTTAAACGTTGACGTGACGAATTTTCTAGCTTCTTTGTAAAGGATATATCTCAGCTACAGTTTTAACTGAACGTAGCAAAGAAATAAATGAATAAAAAACCCAATTATAATGTATAACCGACATTGTTCATTTCATAGAATTAGATTGTTTGGGCTTGGATGTACAAAAGATGCAAGCTGTGCAATATGTGAGCTCCAATAACTCAGTGAGGTCATTTTAGCCAAGTTTTACCAAGACTTACGTCCGCGTTAGTGCATTCGTGGGCAATGTGAGCGGCCTGTGTATGTCCTTATACATGCATATGCATGTATGTGCAACTTTTTTCCACGACAGGAAAAGGGAGAGTTTAGGTGGAGCTGCTCCGACTTTTCGATTAAAGGGTTTACTAAAGTCAGCAGGCTCACAGTTCCCATGGCCGCATGAGTTCAAGGCTGATGTTATTGTCTATTTCCTATCACTTAACGAAAAATATACGTCGAATTTTTCGCTGAGATCTCCCGTTTACGTGAGATCCGTTTGGAACAATGGGAGATTATTCAACTTTTTGCTAAACGTATGGCGCTTTAGGCCGGGTCTGAAGGACATTCCACAGTCGTGTGTTCTCGTATTCAAAGAAATATTCGAATTGAAATCGCTATTGCATAGCAGTATTGCGAATATATACATATTTAATTTACAATCAAATGGAGCATACAATCATACCAGAAGCTGAGAGACGATATGTGTAATTATTAAATATTTGATATGTACTATAGTTTATACTATAAATCGATTTTAGGTAAAACACCATCATAAGTTTGACTGAAGTCTGTTGTATATTTTTTACTTACTTGTTAATTAAAAAAAGCGTACTTTATTTAGTACCTTGCAACATAAAGGCTTTCTTTTATTCCCTGCTTCTTTCTATACTTCTAAAATATAACTTTTAGCTAAGCGAGTGTCAAACTGGCCTGTCACAATGTACAACACCATGTACAATTCCACCATGGCCATTCATAAAGCTGATGCCAGAAAAACGATTGCTTCGCTTTGCGTGACAGATTCGCTTTGATAGATAAGGTGATATGTATGAAAATGCACAAAGCATTCCACAAATATCGTTCCAGCTGCAATATGGTCAACTCCCATCTTTTTGCGCGCGTTGTCCATCAGCTGGTTTAATATTTATTTTGTTTCGTCTAAATTCGAGTTTTCATGCAGAAACGTAAAATTTAATTACATTTCTGGTATTTTTAAAACTAAACATACAAATTTAACAGCAATTTTCGCAAGTAAAAAAGCAGTACAAAATTGTTTTCTTGGCGTTCATTGTGGCGTACCTTTTGCCTCTGGCGCTTTGCTGGCATAGTTATAAATGTCACGCAAAGCCACAAACTTTTAACTGGTTCAGCTTAACTATACTTAACTAAAATGTTCAACTTGGATCACATTTCTAACAATCGGTGTATTTACCATAAAAAATTTAAACAATAACTTGGTTGAAGAAACCATTGTACTTTTGGATCAGTGATAACCAGGGAACGGATTTTTAGGACCTAAAACCCTATAAAAAAGCAAAATCAAATAACGAAATAGGCTAGAAAAGGCAAAATAAATAGCAAAAAAGGCAAAAGAAGACACTAAAAAAAGACAAAAATCGAAAAATAATCAAAATATACATTTATTTTCCCCCCTATTACACTGTACAGCACTAGGCTGGGTATTGGACCAAACCAACTTTATTTAAGAGATTGAGTCATAAGTAAAAAAAGTAAGTTCTCCGTTTTTCGAAGTTAGCCTCCGAAATCGAGATATGGGCCTTCGAAGTTCGAAATTGGACCTTTGGTAAAAAATTATTTTTAATTATTGCACGTAAAAACCAAAAAAAGTAAAAATACAGACGTGGTCCGCCTTTTTCTCTTATTTTATGGTATACAACTTTTTTTGTGAAAACTTATATTACAGGTGCTATAAGAGGTCAAAGATCTTCTAAGAGGTATAAGATCTTCGAAAAATTAAAAACTTAATATTTCAGAAAAATTTGAACTGATTTTCGTATCGTTGTAAAGGTTATTTAACCCCCTTTCTTGTGATATGCATATTTGTATACTTCGTATATAAAAATCTGAGAAAAAATGCATTTAAAGGAAAATATACCTTTTTTTGAATAAAAAAATATTTTAAACAAAAAACCGATTTTTAAAAAATTGGTATCGTTGTAAAGGCGATTAAACCCCCTTTCGTTTAATATGCATATTTGTATACTTCGTATATAAAAATTGGAGAAAAAACACTTACAAGGAAAAAATACATATTTTTTCTTATAAAAAAAAATTTACAAAAAATTACTAATTAGTAATACAATTGAATACCGTATTTAAATAAAACAAATAATTTAGTGTTTTAAGCGTTAATGCGTTCTTGTTCACCCACATCCCTGTTAAAAATAAAGCAAAAGTATATGTAGCAGAA